TCTAAGACATGCACAGGAGGCTGAGGCAGGCGGATGGCGGGGAGATCCTTGCCACCATGGCCCTGGGATCTGGGCAGTGATAGCTGCCATCTGAGGAGTGTCCCAGTCTCAATACCTTCTTAGCCACTGTGACCAAGTATAACTCAGCACAGCTAGAAGTTCCCTGGAGTTAGCACGGAAGGGCAACCATGATTGTCCAGGGGCAGGCACACCTCTGTATGGATGCATGACCTCTCGGTTTACAGGGCTGCACACTCTGCTGATCCCTCCAGTTTCTTGTCCCAGTCCCCAGTCCTTCTGCACAGCACTGAGGGGCAGCAGCAGGGAGTGACACGGGCTAGAGTGAGCAGGCCCGTCCTCACTTGGGCCACATTCCACCAGCTAGAGGCCAGAATGCAGCAGCCTCGCTGCGGGGACCTAAGTTAACTTCATGTTCTTCCCTCTAGAGGCAGAGGAAACCACTTTGGGAAGGGCCTGCCGGTGGGAGGTGATAAACACGAGAAAAAACAGGCAGAGAAAAATGCAGGCTTCCATAGGGGACACACACGATGACCAACACACACTCCCTCAGACTCACACCCACTAAGGAGCTGAAAAGTAAATCAGCTGGGGCCACAAATCTCTGTTCATCACATGGCAGAGATGAGCAGTGACTGTGCTGACACCCGAGCAGGGACAGGGTGGGAGAAGCAGGCACGCTCACCTCAGGGCATCCGGTATGAAGCAGCTGGAGGCCATCTGGTGACATCTACCAAAATTTACCCAGCGCCTTCATGCCAAGAGGAAATCCCCCAAGGTCACAGAGAATCATATAAATATGTACTACATGACCTCAATCGTAGGCAGTGATGATGAGGAAGAAGAATGCCCAGGCTTTGGATCAAAGGCTGGTGAAGAAATCATAACCAGGATGAGCAGTCAAGAGCAAGGTGATGCCAGAGACTGGTGTGAGGCAGCATCAAGGGCGGGGACGCAATGTAATGCCACACGGAGACTTTTCATCAACCACGCACCACCCGTAGACGGTGTCACCTGGTGAGGTCACGGCCATCATAGTGCATGGTGACGCCGGTGCAGGAAACCCACCGCACTGCCAGTCACGGAAAAGCTCGGCACGCACCGTGACGTATGACGCCTAATACTCAACAAGCACCGATGTTGCTGGTTTTCACGTTCACTATACTTTCCACTTTTATTTAGAGTGGTCACTTGCAAAACCAAAAGTGCACCGCACAGCAGGGTGCCACGTGGTGCTGGCAGCACCTTGGATGGACTTCACCACTCAGGTTTGTGTTCACGCAATGACAGAATCACCTCATGACGCATTTCCATGCCGGGGATTTAGCTCAGCGCTTCCGCCCCCTGCTTTGCAATCTCAAGGACCCAAGTTCAATCCCCGGTACCAAAACCAAATAAAACAAAAACACATTTCCTGTTGCCAAGCAATACACAACTAGATGAATGTTTGTGCAACCAACTGAACTGCTGGCCATGCCACCCCTGGAGGGACCTGCCTGACCCAGGAACCCCACATGGTGCCCTGGGGCAGCAGGATGTTCCTCAAAGCCCACTGAGGTGAGTCCCCCATGAGGTGTCTGCTCTCAACTCGGTGTGCTCCTGCTGTCAAGCCTGGAACCTGCACTGTCCCAGCAGGGACGCTGCCCCAGCAGGGCCACCTAAGCCAGCTGACAGGATTCCCACAGATGCAGGGGACAGTGTGGGTGAGCCTTGGGGCTGCAGGGCCCAGCAGCAGGACTACAGGGGTGGGGCAAAGACCACACAGAACCCAAATTCCCCAGAGGCCTCAACTGCCAAATTTGGGACTTGAATTTATTCCTGGGCTGACTGCACAGCCCAGGTGAGGACTTCAGGGGACACTAATGAGGAGCAGGTGACAGAGCACTAGAGGGCTCCGCCTCGAATGAACCCAGTGCTAGTCCTCTACCACCTCACAGAAATATGTGACTGGGTGAGATGCTGTGCCTCTTTGGCTGCGGTCTCCTTCCTCAGTGCTTCCTATCTCTGGTCTGGAAAGGGGAATGAAATGAGCAGATGGGGCGTGGGCTGTTGTGCCTGTGTATAGTGCAAACACAGAATCACCAGCTCTAGAACCCAGCATACCCAGGTGGCATGGGGATGTTTCCAGAATGATCAATCCAACCTCGCAGGTTGACACTGGTGATGCAGAGGGGTGGAGACATGAAGAAGAGCCTTCTGCAGGGCCCTTCCTGCACCGAGATGCTGGCTCCTGTTACGTGAAGGACAGTCCCATGCTGGGCCACACAGCCTGAGGTGAGGATCCTTGTGCAAGCGGTTCACTGATGCACTTGGCTCAGGGTTTGAGGCTGCTGTAGCAGGACACCTTGGAGCAGATGGCTTACAGACAACAGGAAGATCCTGCTCACAGGTTTGGGGCCTGGCAAGTCCAGCATCAAGGTGCTGGCAGGCTTGCTGTCTGGTGAGGGCCTGTTGCCTAACAGAGGGGGCCTGCTCTCTGTCCTCAGGGCCAGAGGAGGCGAGGGCACTCCCCTGGGTCCCTTTTATGGTGGTACCAATCCCCTTCATCCCACAAGCCCCACCTCCTAACACTATCTGGGGTTAGGACTCAACATAACGAAGGAGGCTCTTTGGGAGGTGGGTATGACACAGGATGGGCAAGGGCAGGGGCTAAGCCAAGAGGGGCTTTTGGCTGGAGACCAGCAGTTCCAGGGCTTGACACCTGGGTTGGCCCCACCCAATGACAAGGGAGCTTCCTGTGCCTCCACTGTCATTCATTGGCTAAAGTCTGGGCAGCATGTGGCCCCAAGGCCAAGGAAACCAGGCTCTGGAAAAGGAGGCGCTATGAGCCTTAGGCACCCAGTGGACCCACACCTGGGGTGGGTACACCTTATGGGGAGGGGTCCTGGTGGGCACCGCAGCATCCACTGTGTCCAGAAACCCTGCCCAGGAGCCAGCACTGCCCATGGGACCTGCCTTCTGTCCTTTAGGTTTCCTGCATCAGGGCACTCACCACATGGCACACATGCAGTTGGGACAAATAAAAGAAAGTCAGTGACAGGAACTAAGGGTCACTGGTGTGTTTATTTCTGTGTACTGTGGGTCCCGATCACCAGGCTCTGGCATGGGGAGGTTAGTTCTTGCCCAAAGGTCCGCTGCTCAGGCCATGGTATTTCCCTTTGTCATACATTCACGTTGGAGCCAGTGAGGCCTGGAGCTCAGGCCATCTGCATCCAGCTGCTCCTCCTCATGCACAGCCCCAGGTATGCCGTGGAATAGAGTCCAACCCGCCAACCTATTCAGATCCTCTACACTTTTCTCATCTGCTGCAAAGTTCTCTTCCTGGTGATTCTCAGGAGACAGCAGGAGCGGATTCTGATGGAGCCTCAGGTGGGTTTAACTGTACTCCGGAGGCCAGCAAGGGCCACATACTCACTGAATGCCTGAAACAGATGCCTCTGAACAGTGGGCTGAGGTTGTTAGGTTCCTAGGCTGAGCCCCAAAGGGAGATGTTTTCAGGGTGCACTCCAGGTCCAAAGGGAGGCTGAAGGTTCTGACATCTGGGACTGGCTGACACAGGCAGTGACACTTTCTGAGAGCAGCCCTCCTCCTAGAGGGGAAGACATCTTCACTGGGAGGGGAGCAGCCTGGGCACTGGACTCACAGCTGGGCTGGTCTGGGGACTGCGCCCCTTCCTGCCTGCCTGTCAGGAAGTGGAGCATGCCTTCCTATGCCTTTAGTGTGGCTGCCATGACTCGTCAGTGTACAGTACAGTAAAAAAAGGTGTGAAAAGAGTAACTATAGTGGACAAACCTATCACTTCCTTGGCCAGTCTGGTAGTGATAGGGAAAACTTTTATAAATAGCAAAAACCTATAAAGTGTTACAATGTAAAATGGCTTCTGCTTTCTCTAACAGCAGTTTGGGGGTTTTTTTTTGTTTTTTTTTTTTGTTTTTTTTTTTAGCTTAAAACTAATTGGTACCGAAGGCACTAATGGCTGAATGAGGGATTTGGTCTGACCCTGAGATAACAGTCAAGGTCTTGAGCTCTCATGAGACTGGAGCCACCAGATCGTAAAAGTGTGTAAATGAAAGAACCCGTTGCTAACATTTGCTCCCCTGACCCTGAACATCCCCCTTTTCTATGGGCTAGAATAACTAGGTGAATCTTAAAGGTAAACTCCCCAACTGCAAAGCACTGTTACATCTGGGTTGAAAAGATTAACTATTCTGTGATGGTGATTTGAACTGTGAGAATGAAATGTAACCACCCAAATGAAGTAAAGGCTGTAAAACCCTATAAAAGGAGGAGTTGTAACCCAGTGCATTGTCGATCCAGGCACGGTTTATGCGCGATTGACCCATCAATAAGTAAATTTATTATTTTACTTCCATTCTGCTGCCTCTCTGTGTGTCACTTACTGATTCCTTCCGTACAGTAGTGCTTACCAAGTGACATTCTGGCAAGGCTGGTTGGGCCTCTGAGGTGGGAGAGGTCAGGAGCTGTATCTATATGCTCCTGCCACAAGCAACAGGGCCCCAGTGTACCTTACCCACAGCCCTGGCAGCTGTGCAACATGAGCACAGCAGGACCTGCCTCACCGGGCACCTTGGACAGATGCCTACCCTCAGCACATCCCACACCTGCGCCTGTGTTGTTGTGCTGAAAGACACCCAGGATGACAAACTCAAACCAATGAGCCTAAAGGCGGGTAACCATACATACAACACCCTCACGCACAGAATGCACCACTGACAGGCACAGCAAATGCACATAAACTCACATACACATCCACAATTCCCACCTGCACACACACAACCGTGTGGACTATCCTCGCCAGCCCTTCATGGCTCTAGCGCAGGTCCTGCCACCCCTGATGAGAGTTGGCTGCACCCTCTGGACCGGGCTGATGTGGCTGTGGAGCAGGGTCACTGAGGATCTGTGCTCAAGCCCACGCCCACTTTCTCTGTTACTTGTTTGGGATGGAAGCTCTGGGTTCTTACCTCTAGGCCCCATGCTGGATTTCCCTGCTCAGAGGACACACCTGGTCCCAGCCCCACGTGTCCTTCTACTTCGAGTCTGCCACATCCTGCTCGGTGCAAACCTTGGCTCTGCCATGTATTGGAGGCCAGCCTTGAACTCATTCTGTAGCCCAGACTGGCCTCAAATTTTTGTCCCAGCCTCCAGAGTGCTAGGATTACAGGAATGAGCCACCATAGCCAACTGTACTGCCTGACTTTGAACAAATTACCAAATTTTTCTACGCCTGATTACTCATCTGAGCAATGAGTTCCTATCAGAATGTACACAGCTGCTGTGGGTTAAATGAAAACATTGTCAAGCCCAAGGCCTCAGTTCTAGCAAGTGCTCAAGAAGTGGAGGCCTCAGTTCACCATGCGGAAGGTGAGTCCAAGGAAAAGCAGCACTTTGCTGTGTCCATGGCAACCACACTGGCAACAGAACTCCTACCCGGCTGACAGTGGCTACTTCACAATAAGAAGCAATGTTATTGATACATAACATGAATCAATCTTCAAAACATCATGTTGTCCTATTTCAAAAATTAAAAGGGCCAGGGATGGAGCTCTGCGTGAAGGGTCTGGGTTCAATCTCCAGTAAAACACACACACGTCCATCATTTTGGGAAAGAAGCCATTTGAAGAGTACACTTCAGTGATTCTACTTATATGAAGCTCTAGATCAGACAAGACGAAGATAAGGAGAAGGAATTTCCGCCAGCTGCAATTCTGAGGGGCATGTTCTGTCACTGATTGTGGTGAAGGTCCCCAAGGGGTATGCATTTGCCAAAATTCACCGAACTGTACATCATTGCATGTAGATACCTCAAAAATGGTCACTCTGGGTCATTTCAAAATTCACAAATCAATGAAGAATAATACTGAAAGGCACGAAGTAAACAAAACCAAAGTCACTTGCAGTTAACCTCCAGGCCAACATCGCAGCAGCTCGCCAGAGCCTGGGTTCAGCGGGGGCTCACGGCTCACACTGCCCCTTCGCGCCCCGCCTCGCCTCCTGTCAGCGCCCGAGGTCCCAAGCTGAGCCAGTGTTTATCGCCACAGTTCTCGGGGAGCTACCCACCCCAAGAAGCAGTCCTGCCCGGCCCACCGCCGCGCCGCCCGCGCACACCCGATGGTAAGGACGTAGCCCCCGCAGCGCTTCCGGACTCCGGAGCCGAGGCGGA